CAACCCTAGTATGTGTATGTGAAATAACACATTGTGTTCTGATATATGCTTCTTGATTATATTATTAATGGAAATTTTTGATTCTGAACAAACGACTTTTTTTTTTTTTGTGAGTTAGAAAGTTATCGTTGAAATTTACAGATTCTAGACGTGGTCGAATTTTCAAAAAATTTAAACTATTATTGAGGTATTAATAGACATTTTAATTTTGAGAGTTTTGTACGTAATATTTATTCGGTAAGTACTTTGTGGTAAAATTATTAGACTTAAATATAAATGCTTTGAAATTTAATAGGAGGTTCATTAAGAGTCTTAATTTTTATTAAACATTGATTTGATACAGAAAAAAAAAAAATGTAGAACTTTTTTTTTATAAGAGAATTTTAGTATAAAATTTTCATGAAAAAATTATGTGGAACAAATCTAATTTTTCAATTTTTTTTTTTTTTTGAACATAAGTATATTGTTGAAAGTCAGAATTATTGAGCGGGCCGATTAAGTTTTGAAATTATAGCTTTTTAAAGTTGTGTTATTATGTGGATATTATATATTATGTTAAATAACTCTGATTGTTTTTCTTAAAGAATATCTCTCGTGATTTATGGTTATACGTGCCTATGGGCTATTACCATTCTAGGAGTCCCGAGTTCAATTCCGGGTTTCGAACAAAATTGTTTGCATTTTTTTCCTCTTTTACCTCAACAGGAAACAAAAAAACATTTTGGGTATAACTAGAAATGCAAGTCATCGCTTGCTCGGACTATTTTAATCGTAAAATACCTCTAGATTTGTTGTGCAAACTTTTCTACCAGAAATCTTGCTCTGATATATCAAGTATAGCTTATTTTCTGAAAGGAAATTTTATCTCCATGGTAATTTAGAGAAGTCGTTTTATGTTTTTTTAAGCAGTTTTCTTAATATCTGGAAAAACCGGGATAAAATGTCGGAGAAACGTAAAATGTACCTAATGTAGGTACAAGTAAACAAATATTATGGCCTTTTTTTTCTGTGTAACTTTTCTACCAGCAATTTCGCTCAGATTTAAAATGGTAGCACCTTTTCTGAAAGGAAATCTGATTGAAAAAATATTTTAGAGAGATAATTTTACTATTTTCCCATTTATGGGAACCTAAAAATCGGAACAATGTCTGGTAGAAAAGTTGTCCACAGATAAAAAAAAAAATATATCTTTGTTAAACCATAAGCTTCTTCGCTCCACTCAGAATCTAAAATTATAACTAAATATAGATATCATATAAGGTTTGGGAGGGGGGGGGGGGGGAAGGACTCACCACCCACAGCTATGTGAAGACCTATGTTAGAATTTTGTACTTATTTAACAAGCAACACATAAATAAAAAGGTAATTATTTTATAAGTGTTTGACTGGAGAAATAAAAATAGTGAAAGTAAGTTTGTTTATTATGTTTTTACGACTAGTTTACTGAACCAGTTTTGATGAATTTTGGTCTAGAGATAAATGAGACTTTGCAGAAAAATAGACTACTTTTTGTCACGAAAATCAAACTTGTAGGGGATGAAAGGTTTTTGGGTATTTTTAGTTTGACAATTCATTTTTGTTGAATTATGGGTTACTTTAGTTCACGTATAAAATGAAAAATAATTTAATACAAATAAAATAAATAATAAACAGAAATAAAAATGCCATAGTAACTATAACAACTAAGAGTCTACATGTCTGTCTGCCAGTCTATTATTGGCTTGAAATATAATGGTAACATGGATGAAAAAAGAAAAAGAAAATATAATGTGGTATACTGGATGGGTAAGTGAATAATGAAACCATGTAAAACGTCATCAATGATGATGACACATCATTGAATCTTTGTATTCTTTTGGTACAGTAACAACAGTTCTATAGTACTATAATGTCCTCATAATTTAAGTATTATTATAGTAGATATATAGTTAAATGCTTGAGCTGTGTGGGTATCTATATTAACACAGATGGGAAAAAGGCATAGCACACTATATAGAATACTTTTGGCGGACTACCCACTTTTCACTTATTTTTTTTTTCGTTCAATATACTAATATAGACAAGGTAAAATGGGAATAAAGGTAAAAATAATACAAATTGACACAGGCAACGCAGGGCACGAGACAGCTAGTATTTTATACAAAGAAATTATGTCACACAATTGTATAATAGGTATATATTTTTTATTTGCTTAATTAATAAATCAAAATCGAAATTAGATAGGCAAGTCTACTGTTTACTACTACTACTACTACTACTACTAATAATAATAATAATAATAATAATAATAATAATAATAATAATAATAATAATAATGAAGTACTTGTTAATAATAGCTATGAATTGAGACAAAAGGATGAGCCAGCACCTCGTTTATCACAAGGTTACCTTTTATCTTACAAAGATGCAATTCTTGCTATTGTAAAAATACAAAAACCTAACTACAAATTTTCATAAAATATACAAATGAAATTTTTTTTTTTTGTTTAACATATACAAAATATCAATATATCATAATATAGAAGGTAATAATTATAATAATTAATTTTATATATATATATATATAAATTGTACAGACTTATCGCGGTACTAATAATATACTCATAGAAACTTGTTTAAGATGTATTCAACATTTTTTTGGTCCCTTCTAGATCTGCTATCTTGAATATGTATATGCATTCAGTAGTTTGACAGATAACTTGGATCAGTTTCATTGCAATTATGAGACAAGGAACGTGATATTAATTTTATGTAAAAATAATTGTTTTTTTTTTTTATTATTTTAATGCAAATTGTTTTTGAATGGATAAACACAATTTACACTATAAAAAAAAAAAATTTACATAAGTAAATCCCCCTATCTATTGTTTAAATATTAAATGAATATATATATATAGAAAAAATAAATCTGTTCAAAATTTAAAAGGACCAATTTTATCATTATTCAATAGTAATTTTAATTAAATAATAATTTGAGAACCTTTTTTTGTTAAATCAATTTTTATATTAATAATAGTAAAACATTATACATATTTCCTATAATCTATTTGCGTCAAATTAATATTAATAATAATTTTAAGTTAAAAAAGAAACTTACATAATATATAAATATAATATTACAAAAAGGAATATTTTAGAGGCGGTTTTTGAAAATAATAAAACACACAGACACATATATATATATATGCATATATCTTTAAATTTCAGACTTAAAAAGACAACAAATTGACACCCTTTTTTCATATATATATATATAATATACATATATTTTGTAATGCTTTCTAGGCTGATCAATCCATGGCCATTCTGGACATCATAATACCACCTCTTTTACACAACCAGGCACTATAAAAGATAAAAACATATTACTAACGGTATTATAACTGTGTTAATATGTTAAGACTTTATGAGTAACCATACCCGACACCAGCTCCCAACAGTATAGACAAAATATTGGTCAAAAACAGAGTGTACAAAACTTCTTTAGAAAAGAGGCTCTCCTTGCCGACCTTAGCATTACGCATACTGAATGTCTTCTTTTTAGGATGAATGAATTTCCAATTTCTGCAAAGAGAAATGATTAAATAAATAATCACAAAAATTGAAGGAGTGTCTACAGTTTTTTAAAAAAATATTGTAAATAACTACTTGGGAGGTGCCTGGTCTGGCCGACTGCTCCAATCCCATATCCAATCAGTATTCTTGTCCAAGTTGTACAATTCTTCACCCTGTTCAACAAATAACAAAATATTATGCATAAAAACATTTTTGTTTATATATAATTAAATAAAAATCTCAAATATAAAATAAAATATTATCAATCATATGAATCATATTATACATGCTTAATAATAATAAAATATTCAATATTGCTAACAATATATATAGATATCATCCCACCTCACTAAGGGGATTCATTTTTTATTATTCAACCATCATATCCCTCACCCCCTCTAGTATTACTTTATCTTTAAATGTATGCTGGAATTTGAATAATTATTATCCAAGAAAACTCACTTGGTTCGAATAGTTAATATACACTCCTCCAAGATCATCTTCCAGTTCATTGTTCGGACTGTTTGGCGGTGATTTCGGGCTAAAAAAAAAAAAATAGGTAAAATATTTTGATACAACACTATAATGCAATCAAATTATCAAAATGAGTACCAACCTGCCCTTAACAGATGATTCTTTGGACAAGACTCTGGATGATGGGTTGCTCTCCTTTTGAGCTTCCTTTAACAGTCTCAAGTATTCTTCGCCAGACGATATGAATGGCACCGGAGTGACACGGTCCACGCTTTGAAAAGATATTGGGGATGTCCAACCAGGAATATCCACCCAAGATTCTGAAAATCAACACATTGTTATTATTAAGTAAATTCAGTGGAGTTTTTTTTTGTCAAAGATCGCTAATGGAAGCCAGTTAAAGTATTAAAATATGTTTAGGTAAATATTATACGGTACCTATTATAATAAGACAACGTGCATGTACCTACTTTGGCTTTTGAAACCGTTATTTTCTAAGCTATAAGTACCTAATGACAAATAATATTGTTAAGTTTTGGAAATCAAGGACTTACATTTGGAGGTTAGAACTTTCAATCACCACCCTGACTAGTTTTTTTTTTTGGTAATACTTAGTGTCATATATAATATTTGGTTATATTTTATTTTTTTACAAAGAATATTAATTTCTACAATACAAAATGGATTAAGTAAATTCGACTCTATTAGCGATTAGATGACTAATAAAGCTCTGCTGCTCACGGTTGACTTTTTATTAATAATGCACCTAATCAAATATGTATTTTATACTTGCCTGGAAATATGTAACAGCAATTTAAAAAAATGACTGACATACTTCGCACATGGTTGCAGCCACTGTTGTAGGTAGAAAGTTGGGAAGGTAGGATACAGATCTGTAAGCAACGATAAACTATTTCTAACGAAAAAACGATTCTGAGCGGAATTCAGTAGATAGTGTTGCTTTGTCAACAATATATATATCATATTATGATAAAATAATTACAAAAATGTGCGTTTCCATAACAACAATGATTGTTTAAAAAAGATTAAAATAATAAAAACTTAATAACAAAAATAAATAAAAACTATTGCTAATGACAACCTCATTTCTAATCTTTCAATCTTTTTAATCTAAAGACCGAGGTTTTCCTCATTATCTCAAATATTAATGAGAATTTCAAAAAATGACTCCTGTAGCACCCAGAGAAAATTTCCTTACTATACTTGATAATCGAAGGATGCTTTCTGGTAGAAAATGTAATCAAATAATAAAAAAAAAAATAAACATCATTGTAAAATTAATACATCCCTCATTCCATTGAAAATCTAAAATCCAGTCGCCACCTCCTCCCTTAATTTAGGGTTAGTTTTCAACATAGATATAGTAAGAAATGTCTTGGAAATAGATTTCTCAATATATTTATGATTTCCAGGTGCTACGCATGTTTCGGATGCCGTTTGGTCATAAAACGCCACCGAACACTCGTAGGGAGAAACGAAAAATTATTGATTTTGCGCAGTAGTGAATTGTGACGTAGAGTATCATAGCAACGTTTTGCATCGTGCGTGAGCCTTTAGTCGTTGTAACCTTGGTAACTTGAATGACCAGGAAATGTCCAGCGATGCGCTAAACATATCGGCTTTGCTCTCGTTATAGTTACAATACGGTCGTCGGTTAGTCGATTTTTCGGCGTCATCGCCGTATATAATCACATTTTCATAAGTGCGATTTAAAAACGCTACATCATTTTGCAAAATGCGACACGACATATGACGTCGCCGGGATACCGTGTCGTAATATTGGCGAGATCGGCGCAGAGCTCGCGACCGCAGCTGTCGTCACGCGTTTGGCTCGCGTAAACAAACGGTACACGTGCCGGTCAAAAAATATAAACGCGTGCGCGTACCACCGCGACAAAACAACAAACCGACAGTCGTCACTCATCAGTCGTAAACTCGGCCATACCGGCGGTGCAGGTGGTGCCCTTCGTCGCGGAATAAAATAATAAAAATTATAATTTTCATAATAATACTGCATTGTTGTCGTCGTACGCTGGAGTGGGAACACACTCCGCTCAAGGTGAATAATATAATATAAAATAATATAATTATTATTCCGCGACGTGAACATCGTAGGTAATGGATACAGTATAGTACGTTTCACGGTATACAAGTAATGAGTATTATAATTTTGTTATACTTTATACATTTTGTATAAGTTGTAAGCGATAACGCCTGCGCAAGCGTGTGTGTGTATGTGTATGTGCCAGAGAACAAGGAAAACAAACACTTGTGTGCAACAGAGCAGCTACCCACGAATTCCCCCCTCCCGGCCCATTTTGTACAATATAACGATAAATAACCGAATATTATGTATATAGTAATAAAAGACCACTAAATACTAAGAGAAAAAAAAAAATGAAATTATTTTTTATCATAAAAATAGCAGGAATAGTAGTTGAAAATTAAAACCCTCAAATGGCACATCCTCGGTATTAACGCCGTGCGTAAAGTAAATGTTATTCTTCAGCTTCGTTTGTGGAGTCTACAAAACTAAACAAAAAACACCATTTACCCGAAACATTATGGTTAAATTCATAATTGAAATTCAACCAGACATTTATCACTACTGTCTAAATACATAGCACATTTTAATTCCTGAATTTGAGGTCATTTGATTCAGACTTCCAGAGAAATATTTAAATGTAGCGGAGAAAATGTTTTAGAAAATTAATTATTAATTATTTATTTACTATATTAAATACAGGACAAGCCCAAAAGCACAAGTGATAATGATACAGGTTAAAAATTGAATTAGGGGTTCGAGTTGGCACCGTCCATAAAGCGAGAAATGAGTGAGTTGAGAGAATAATTAAAAGGCGAGGAGGAATTTTAAAAGTGAGTTAAGATAAGAAGAAGGAGAATCTTATTTTGCCGGAAATGAGATTAGAGAGAAAGAGAATGTTATATAAGTACCTGCGATCAGCAAGGCTAGTTAGTTGTAAATCATGGAGAATGGAGAAGTAATCAAGAGATGGGTGGGGATGTTGAAACGAAAGGTAACTAAATAGATTTGCCACAAGACGTGGAAGGGTCCCAGAGGACGGAGCAGTATTCAAGGGCAGAGGGAACAACGGAACAGAAAAGGATTTTGAGTGGGGAGAGAAGATGGAATTGTTGAGAGGTTCGGTTAATGAACCCTAGGAGTTTGAGGACTTTGCAGTAGGCGACTTCAATATACTTGAGAGGAAATATCAAGTTTAAACCTAAAAATATTCAGATTATATATTATTTATATTTTTGTGACATACAAATTATTAAAATTTTGAATGAAAATTTCAAAAATAATAAAGCTAGACTATATTACTATACGTAATCAAATATTTATATACATTACCTATTTACTAAGAATAATATTGTTTCCAAGTAGTAATTTTTCAGGATATGGACATATTTTTTTTTTCAGATAAACTTATATATTATCAGGGCCTAGTTAACGAATAAGCTGAAAAGGTTTACAGCCTAGGGCGCTGTTAAATGGTGAGGGCGCAACAAAACAATTTGTTTTCAAAATTGTATTTCCTATTTTGAGAGGTATGGAAGAATTTATAGAGAAAGAATCGAGAGAATTAGGTGGGTGTTGAACAGAAAAAAAAATCACCGCCAAATGAATTTCAGCCTACTGGTGGAAAATCTATTAATCAGGCCCTGTGTATTAATTATGTATTCTTAATCCATGAGCATTTTATACGACGAACACGAGAAGTAAACAGTTTTTGTAATCGTCTATTGTTTTTCTTACATATATATCTGGTATAGACACTTGACATTAACCTTCTAAACTTTATTCGAAAACATATTTTTCAAGTCGATCACAGACGATACTGTTCAATTGGTGCTTTCAGGGGTGCTTTCGACGACGGTCACGGGCGTATATAACGAATAATTCAAAAGCGTTTTCTGGTCAATGACATAATACTCGCGTTGTTAAACGTCTAAAACATATTGTTTGCAAATGGTCATTAACTGCACACAAATAGATACCTACCTAAATAAATAATATTAACGACCTAGTATCTACAATAACGAACGGTAAAACACTTTACGAACGAGGTCGATTGCTGATAGCAATTTCATAACAATATTATAGTAAACACTATATCTGTGTACTACTACAACAGTAGGGTACAACAATGGAAAAAAATCGTTTATAATGCCTCGGATAAGAATATACGGTGTCACAAATAAGTCATAAATAAGTCACAAAAACAACATTCACCCACCACAAGCGATAAACGTGAAGACTACAACGACGACGTAAACATTACACTATTTACGTCACACATTTTCCTCGATCTATCCGTGTAACAAGCCGTTTGCAAAAAACCCTGTATCCGGGCGTTTTTTTAAAGATTTTGTCTGTGTCCAAATGAATATAAAATAGACTCTATTGGACAAAAAGCAAAGTAAGATATTTGCTTATTGGGGGTCCGCTATAGAACACAACAGGTAAATACAGATTAAGTTAATAGATTTTGTAGTAACAAATATTATGATTTTGTAATTACTTATTGGTAGTGAGAAGAGTAACTGGGGAAATTCCAAAAGTTAAGGAAATTTTTGGTTTATCCGATCGTGGGTTTTTTAAGGAAGAGGCGTAGGGGTGGTGATGGAGGGGGTGGACACGCAGTGGATATTCGCTAAAAAAAATACCCCGACCTGTAGAGGAAAAAAAATTCTGTTGTAAATGAATACATATTAGGTAAATATATACTTAAAAATAATAATGAATCAGATAAAAAAAAAAAAAAACAAGTAAATAAAGCAAAATATATTTTACCTACGCATATTATTTTAAGTGAATACAAAATAAATACGGGTAATTATTAGGTATAGATTATTATTACAATTACAAATTCTACGACACTTGTTTGGTTGTTTTTTATTTTATAACTGAAAAACATTTAATAATAATATAGAATCATATGGTGTATAGGTATAATTTTTTTGGGAATCTATTTAACTATATACTAGATATTTGAGTTTCTATAACACTAATAAAACATAAACTAGTTGAATGTCGTCAATACGAAACACATAAAAAAAAAGTAAATATCAGATTAATTATACGAAATCTTGGGACCACAAAAATTGTCATACTTCGCACGATGAGCGAGCCACTATTGTAGGTGAGAAATTGAGAAAGTAGAGGTGAAATTTAATGTATATCGCAAAGATTAATCATTGCTAACAAAAAACGTTTCTGAGCAGAGTTAGGTTACATATACTTTGAAAAAATAAATCTCGTAAATTTTCCTGTTTTTTCCATTTATTATTATGAAAACGCCTGGGAAAATCAAAAAATTACCTCCCTAGTCAGATATCCTGATATTTTTTGCAAGGTACACAGCTGCACAAATCTATCCCCGCGCACACGCCTATATAAATACTATACAATTATTTATGAATTAATTTATTATTAATCAATTCATAGGCAGGTAAAATATGCAATAACTGCAACTTTAATCGCTAATAAAAAAAATTTAAATCAAACTGATATCGGTTTAAAATAGCATAAAGCTATGTATGTCGTTGTTGATCGGTCATAATTTTAATTGCAATGTGCATACTGCATTAGATGACAATTTTGTTTGTCGCGTCATGCGTATAGTGTCGTATCGTACCAATGTGAATCGCACGCGATCGACGTAAGACGACACGGCGGATTAAAAGGCGACAAACATTATTATTAGCCGATTTGGTTCGTCGCAAAGGCGAAAGTGTAATATTAAACCGAACGCGTAACGGTTGGTATAATGTTACGTGGTTAATTCTGGACAGGTTTTAAATCAAAAGTATATAATTATATAATCCATTACGACGGTGTGCGGTTATGTTTCGTTCGTCCGTATGCACGTGCACCTAAATACTATAATATTATTATTATACTCTTTGTTTACGCCGTATTACCGCAAGACGATAATACGAGGAACGTTGTCCCGTTGTCACGAGAAACGGTATCAAAAAAAAAAAAACGATGTATCGAACTATTATTGGCACCGATTGGGCCCCCCAGTGTTTACTCGTGTGCCAAACGAATTTTCATAACAAAAATCACACGTGTCCGAAAAAAACACGTGTAAAACGAACCGAAATAAACGCTCGCCCTTCTCCCAAATCATATCTAACCTTTCTAGAAACACGCACGATTGTGTCGTGAATACATTCGTAATTATGAACATATCCTATCCTCGATTGTCACGGATTTTATTCGGTAGTAAACAAAGAAAAACAAACCTAGACACCAATTTATAGTCTACAGTGTTTATTTCAGGGAGGAGGGGGTATCAGCATATAAATGTATACCATCCCTTGAAAATGTGTGACATTATACTATGTAAACAGCATGCGATATTGAAACGAGTTGCGAGTCGACTATAAGTCATATATTGTTGATAATAAAAAAAAAAAAAAATATATTGTTTTATATAAATAAACGTATTTTAACGAGTTACATAAAAAATCGTTGAGCATATTTTCTTATATTTTTTCCCCGGGTGTAAAAATTCCCAAATCCGCCTATGCCTTTGGGATACCCAATTGGAAATTCCCCCCTTCCCGAGGATGGAAGTCTGTAATGGACACGTCTTGATAGTCTATACGGTTCGGATTCGACTCTGAATCTAACCCGACGGAGCCGCTCGCTGCGGGTGTTTTTTATTTACCCGTCGATTGTACGCCCTTAGATTTATTTTAACCCGCTTGGCCGCCGCCCCGGGAGTTGAATATTCCGCGACTCTGGCGGTTCGTTACACCCTGCAGACGAATCGTAACATTATTATAGAAAGGTCGGGGCGATAAGCGTGCGACGCTTCGGGTGGCCAGTGCAGTCGGCGATCGGAATACAGTTTCGCAACGTGTGTGCCAGCGACGGTGTCCGCGATGAGGCCGAGAGTGACTGGCGGGCGCTTTCACCGAGGGGCCCGGGAGACAGCGTGTGTACGTGACCGGCGGCACGAGAAGAAGGACGGCATGATATGCGAGAAGAGTGCAGCGAACCGAACGCGCGGCCGCCCGCAGACGTTAAAACCGCCGTGTCCACCGAAGTCGATGCGGAGTTTCGCGGATTAAACGCGAAATATACCGATTCCGATGCGACTAGCAGTGCCTATAAATGTACAACATCGTCGTACGGACGTTAACGTGGGGAGGGGGTGGGTTTAGGACGGCTTAGCCCTCTCTGGACCGGCTCGGACCCTGCCGATAACGAATGGGTTAATCGATTTTAGCCGTATTGCAGTGTATAAACCTAAACCCCGCTCTAAACAGTCTAAACCTGTTTGCGGGCGCGCAAATTATTTATCGGGTACGAGGTAAACATACCTAGTCGTGAATACTCACAACGATTGTTTTATTACCACATTGATTTTACGAGAAAAATATCAAAAATAAAATCACTCGTTTTTATTATACACAGTATAAGAATTCAAACTTATTTTCATTATTATTTTTCCGTCGTGAAATATCTATAACGTACCGGGAGGATTTCGCCCAATGATAAATAGATCGCCGATTATCGTATTTTACCGACGCTATCGATTATGTTGCTTATAATATCAGTCGATACAGTTAGGTATACGAATATACGATATCAGCTCGGCGTAATCGATACTTTTGAACCAAATCGCGTTGTCAAATATTCGAATATTCATTTGGCGGAAAAGAAAATCGACCAATTTTATGATTTGGTGGCATAGGTATTATTATGCTGCATTGTAGACATTATTGTAGACTGTGCTACTCCTAATGTTATCATAAATCGAATTCGTATGCCTCCTCTCGGTTCCCTTTGTAATTCGAAGAAAACCCGAACGCGTTTCGATGTTTTATTTTCGGTAAATAAATCAAAGTGGAACGAGAGCTATCGACAATTCGAACTTAATTATACATCAATTATACTATACGAGTTGTAGGTAGGCGTAAAAATTCCCGAATCGATAAAATACGGTAATAAGTATAATAATATACAATATTACGCATGCGTGGAAATTTTCGAAAAGCTTTTTTGGACAACCGTGTCGTAGGCCAACAATACCACGACGTCCTAAGAAAAAAAAAATGATAACAGGTTTTTAATAAATAAAACGCTCTGACTTTTTTACTACGATTTCTGATGCAACACTCTCGTCATACCACATACAGGGCGATTATTTCATCACGAAAACCAGCGTTTAGGCATCTACGAAGAATGTTTTTTAAGCAAACACGACTCGGGTGTTTTCCAATAATATTATATTATTATCAGTGTATATTGGTATAAACGCGGGCTCTCGCGGCAAAAGAACTCCGCCGTGTAAAAATCATCAATATTACTCCCATTTTGCTATCAAATAACATAACAGCATTACGAACGCGCCGTAGTGAATAATAATAATTCGTGTGCGTCCGTCACGGGAAGTCTGGAAGCCGTTGTGGGGGCGAGACCGGTTTTCGTCCAGACGACGAAAAAATAATATTCGGAAAGAAAATAACTCTAACCGGTCTCCGAAGCGGATTATGGAACGACCCAAAACACAATATTTATTTATTATTTATTGTTGTTGTTATTATTATCATCATCATCATCATCACCATCATCGTGCATACGACGGCACTCCTCGGCATTAATACACTCGAGTTCACGCGATGTTTTTTTTTTTTTTTTTTAATAACGTTACACAAAAATATAATATTATCGCCAGTTCACCGCGGATAGCATTATACATGACCGCACCTCTATTATCGGCCGATACAAAATCTGCGCGTTTATACATTTTGAAGACATAGATATAGATATATATAGGTACAACAGATACAACGTTAAAATGAAAAACGGAAAACCGCGATTTGGGAAGGGTGAAGAGTGAGAAGTACGTACCTAACTACTGAACATGAACGAAAACGTGACACATCGTGTTATTTATCGCGGAACCGAAAAATTCGAAGAGAAAATACGAAAACGTAGTGAATAAAAAAGAAAATATATAAGATAAGTAGCATTGCTATAAGTATTATGTATTATTTTTGTGACAGAAAGTATTATAGAAAAAAAAAACGTTGCAGCCGACAGCAATAATTACGGCGTTATCAGTAGGATGATAATAATTATCGAGTTGTTTGTGCCCGTCTATATTATATATTATAATAATAATACAATTATTATTACACTGGTATACAATAATAATTATTGTATATTGTATTATTACTATTTCAATCCCTGACCTTAGAATAGTTATTTATTTATCAGATATTTAAGTACACTGATACGAATTCAAGGGATGGCGGCATTGGCTAAAAAAAAAAAAAATGCAAATGACTAGTACGAATAAAGTTTAGAAGCTCAACAGGTATACGAGGTTATGTAATACAAAAAGAAAAAAATCATAATAAAGCGACTACAAAATCGTAAGCAAGTATACTACACAAATACCTCGGCGGAATCAATACTATTTTGTATGCAAATATTGAAAAACAAAAAAATATATTATTCATATAATATATACGTTACGTTACGTTACGAATAATATATTATTGAAATACCCTCTTTTCTTTTCTTTTTTTTTATTATATAGTATTATGAACATAACATTATTTTTGAATAATGAACATAATATTATATCATTCTAAACCCTTAGGTACCTATATATGTACTCGGATCTCGGATATTGACGAGTTCAATAATATTGAATAATCATTTAGGACCGTTCTACCAAATTCTGTCGATTGTATTTTTGATGTTTTATACACCAAATGTCATTTGAACCTTCCGAAAATTGAATCATCTCCCAATTACATCATTTAATTTATAAAAGTATAATATAGAATTACAACTTCGTCTTCAGAACTTAAATCGAAAATAACTTTAATTTTTTTATGAAAACCTTAACTCTCCGATTTGGAATAAATAACTCATTCTTTTATCCGAAAATTCACCCGAAATATACGTTTAGAACATTAATCATTTTGGGAGAATTTATAACCACCCCTAATCAATCGTGTACCGTTTTGTTCGATTATTGGTTATAGTTTGATCTTCCAATCATGTTAATCGTATATTATATACGGTTTAAATACTTTAACTCGGTGCGTCGTACTACATGCAATCATAATAGATAAATAAATAAATTGAATTATATGAGCAATTATGTACTTGAAAAAAAAAATAGCAAGTTTATTCAATGATTAACATATCATTGATATATATTACGCATAAGTATATGAAATAATATTAATAAACACAGTTTTTATAGTAGGTTAATATGGAAAAAATATCAACCGCGAAAGTCGGAAAACTAGGTTGATGTGATAGAAAAAGTCAATAGGTCAGCCACTTGGTCAATAAGGTTTTTCAGAAATTCTTCTCGGACAATAATAATATTATAAAACTATAAAAAACTAATAACATTTTATTAATCAAAGTGCACGTTTATTCTACAAGTATTCATATCATAAAATCACAATAAAAATAAGAAAATTATCTTACATACCTATATATAATAGTCGTGCACATAATTTACACATAATATTACACTCAGAAATAATATCCGTGAACTAAATATTTTCTCGTTGTACAGAGGAAAACGGATACAATCGAATCCGATTAAGTAAGTGGCCTCGTCGCGAACATTTCTGTCTGTCTCGCACGTCGTAGAGGCTACAAAGGCATTCGGAATTTCCGCGATCGCATACCTGTCTTTTGTTGGACGTGCTACCCAAAGCTGTTCGCGTGCGATGCGCGATAGATAGCGTTGCGCGCCGTATCGTCACGGAGACAGTAGGCTGTAGCCGCGCCCACTACCTCGTCGTATCGACGATCAGCCCGCGGATTTTCGGTTTGTGAGAGAACGCGTTTTATTATCTCATGAGTCATGATCGGCCGCGTGTTGTATATATCGCTTCGGTATAAAATTAATAATGCCGCCGTCGCCAATGTCATCGTACCGTGCTCCAGACACACCACCGCCTTATGGGTGCGCATACTCGCGAACTAATTACTATTTTTAGCTACTGTTTCTTTATACATATGTATAAACAAAAAGAGAATACAATTCGTTTTTTATCATAGCTTGAATCGTTTTAATAACATGATTACTTTTTATGTTATTAAATAACTACCTGTAACTATAGTTTATAAACTACCTACGATAAATATAATATACCAATTTATGAACAATTAAAACTTTGACTGTGAAATGTCGTTTTTATTTGTTCGATGCCAGTGCTACAAAAGTAGTTATTTAAATTTAAAAATTCATTATTTTTGTGTATTTCAAACTTGAATAACTTCTTATCATACCTATATTATACATTTTATAAAGACGAGCTATGTTTACTATCTAATGAATCATTTTTTTAAATTTTTTTATTTTTTATCAAGATATGGTTGAATTTCCTTTTAATTTTAACTATTAATAACTTCTTAAGAAATGAAAATAGTAACGAAAATCATTACTACACAATATCATTCTGTATAAAATGTATAGTCTTAAACTCAACCAAATAATCGCGATCGTGGAAATGCGGAATGCCTTTGTTGATATATTATGCGTGAAACAAACCGTAGAAAACAAATATTAGTGACGAGATCTTTTAAATCATTTTGGTACAATAATAATGGGCCGCGGTTACTCGTGCGTTTTATAAATAAGTTATTTCTGCAGTGATTTTAGTTACAACTTTTGGGTTTAGGATACGGAAATATCGTATAATATAAGCGAACAAAATATGGAACGGTTATAGAAGTTAGTTTTTGTTCTATACTGAGGATTCACTGCAGTAGACATTTTAGCGTTTACCTAGATTTTATCTGTTAACCAATCAAATAAGCGAAACAAGAACAACAAATAACAATAAACATGATATTAAATACACAAATATAAAATGTTTTTACAGAGATTCGTGTGTTTAAACGCTCACGGAGCAATGAATAACATTGTTATCTTAGGTAAAAGTTTGGCTTCATGCAGTTCTTGCCTCAGATTAGTTAACGCCAAAAGCTCCAATGTGAATTCCTCTATAGATAACTACAAATTAATGCAGTAACCAAATAATTGGTATAAACACGTTTGATATGATACTCGTATAATATAATACGTAATCTAGTTGACCGCAAAAAACTAACTAATAATATTAATTTTATATAAGTTGCATTTAAACATATCAATAAATGAATGTGATTCGAGGTTCTTTATCTGCGTATTGATTGAACGCTCGCGAATTACGATGCATTATTTTCGTTGACATAAAAACGTACTAAACTACAATACTTCTATCCCTACATATAGTTTTATATACATATGAAAAAAAATGTACAATTTAACAAGTAGATTTTCGTTTTTAATCGCGGACGTTACCTATATTATACGATGAATTTAACCTGTTATGAAATTTGACCTACTGAAGTCGGTGTTTAAAAACAGCACACGTCAATACGATTTACAAAATAATAATAATAAAAAAAGCCATTCATGAAAAACTGCTAAACGCTGATATTTTACTTTGAATTGCAAATCAATCCGGCGATCGTTATTGGGCAATAATTGTATTATTATGATATATTTTATTTTGCTATATTACAATACTATACTGAATTAGCATATAATCTTTCTAATCATTTTCATACATCGATAATTGACACGTGTTCGAATTGATTAGAGATCTACCTACTCGTATAAAAATAAGTCGTAATTGAAAATCGCTTGTTTAAAATTCAAATCTATATGAAAATCCGTTGCTAAATGAAGAGCTCCGTCCAACGACCAAACAAGTCAACTTTATTTCAGCGAATCAGTTTTAGGCACTTTGGAAACGCATTTTTATTTCTCTTTTAAATTTTGTGTAAGATTGTGTTATTAAGAGAAATACGATTAATATTTACGAAGATATAGGCAATATGGTCTTGTTTAAATTAACATTTTACATATAAAAACCAGTAAAGTCCGAAAAAATTTGTCTTCTAAGGTATAATTTTAAAAAGTTAATTCGTATGGTTGTTGTAAGGAGCCCATCAAATACTAGATAAGTGGTGGATACTAGGTCATAATGTGGTATTTAATTAAAAAAATCTTAACACTTTTAGTGTTTTTGGCGACAGTACATATCATAACGCCATCTAGCCCATATTAAGGATCATCTACTTGGAAAAATTATTGGGGAAATATTAATCTACTTCCCCCCTATCACCATATTTCTTATATTATCATCAACCAAATGAATCCACCTTTTCCATTCTAGAACTAATGGAAAACAAACTACGAGATAAAATATTTCTACTTAAAGTATTTGTTCTTACATTTCTATTAAAATTTATTATTGAAATTTCCCGTTAAAATTTCTGTATTGTGATAAAAATTAATGAGTCATAATCCAGAGTAAACTCTACTTTACTGAGATAAATATAACTACGATGAATTTTTTTTTTATGTTCAAACAAAAATATTTATTAAGACATAAAATATTTACTTTTATTCAATTTTATCAAACAATAATTCAATATAGGTAATGAATCTTTGTATACGAGATGAAAAAATGCATTATTATGTATTATATAAACGTATAGGTACTTCATATTTCTCATGGGTGTGTTAATCCACTGCCGAGCATTGATAACCTGACAAACGTGGGTCAATAAAAAGATAAGACTGTATATAATGTTATAATTTTTTACTTCTTTCAACCGCATGCAGAACAAAAGAAATTGTCTGAATGCGATTTTAAATAAATTAAAACGCTATTATGATAAACCTATTTATTTGAGTAAAACGCATTGTTTGATGTTCAAAAATAGGTTTTTCTTTTTACCACAATATTATTCACTCGATTATTAGTATCATTAACTATTTTAATATTATTGTATTTTAATTGTTAAAAAGTGTACACAATTTGTATCTGACGCGTGCATATGTTTTACGTTACTTATTCACGAACCTCGTCATTAACATTTTGTTTTCTGTTTTATTTTTTCCTTTCAATATTGACACAGACAAATCTGTGCAGGACAGTATTATAAAAAAAAAAGACGGACATACTTCGCACGATGGGTGGACCACTATTGTAGATGAAAAGTTGGGAAGGTAGGATAAAGAGGGGAATTTAATATAAATCTGTAAGCAACGATTAACCATTGCTAACGAAAATCGATTCTGAGCGGAGTTCGGTTAATAGTATTGCTTCGTCAACAATATATAATAAATCATATTATAGTAAAATAAATATACATTGAAATAATTTGTATGGACCAGTAACTAGATTTGCTCCACATAATTTTTTAATAAAAAGATTTTCGTCAAAATTATTTAAGTATTAAAATTCTTAAAAAATTATTTAAACTACATTGAATTCAACGTTATTTTTTTTGGTTACAAGACATAAATTACGACATTCTGTTTATCCACAGAGTACCTACCAAATAAAAATTACTCATAAAATTAAAATGTATATAACTATAAAATATCTCGAATATGAACATATTTAGAAAAGGCAGATATACATTTATTGTCCAAATTTCACGTCTCTACAAATATTTAACTGAATTACAATAAAAAACAAAATTGAAAATAATAAAAATATTACATTTTTTCGCATATTTTCCCGTTTTATCTCGAGTTTTTCCAAAAATTATGAAAAACCGCTTGGAAAATCAAAAATAATGACTTCCCTAAAGTTAGAAATTTTTGTCGCAGTAAAAAAAAATAATAATAATAATAATAATAATAAATATCATTGTAAAACCGCTACGCTCAGAATCTAAAAAGTCAAGTGTTATGAATGTTTTGAAAGCTCCGCAATCTATATGGTCCGAAATACGACGACAACAATAGTTTCAAAACTGACTACAACTGAATGGCAATATTATATAGGTATAAGTATCGCTCGTAATACGACAAAAACGAAACAATGTTAGTTAGTTGTGTTATCGTTGTTTTGATTGCAGGTTTGAAAAGAAAAAAACGTGCAGGCACAAACTGTGAGTATTTACGACGAGTAGTTCGACGACAACGATGACGACGTTAAGTATATGTTGTTAGGTGGTAAACAAAAAATTTAATGCGTACGTAATATATTCAATTTACTTTTCTCGCGGTTTGACGTTAACGGTAGGAAAACGAGTTTATTTTTGACAACAAAGCAATAATATTAATATTTATAATATAAGAATCGGTCATTAACGGGCGCGCGTTTCGTCTGCACGTACACACGTACGTTCAGCGTCATCGAACCAACAATTAATACGATTAAAAAACACAATGTTATTGACTTTTGTCGAAATAATCAAATACTATAATATCGTAATCAATATCAGACTTTCGACCACGCGTGTCATCATTAGCGATCGTATACAGCCATCATTTTCGTTCGGTAACGAAATACCCGTTTTCCTCGTCGTAAGAAACGATTGTTATCCTCATTAAGGGGCCACTATTTACCACTAGCCTAGCCCTTTAGACTACCGGGGGAGAAGGGAACATTACTATAAACGCGCGATTTGTACTTGTACGCGTGTACAGTTTAGTTTTAGCGCGTGCGTGTTTGTGTGTACATACTTAATCAAAGTATGCATTATTAATTAAAATATCGTTAATTGTTTTTGGCATTTGTATAAGCCTAAAACGTTATCAACTGGATTCAGTTAACGATAAAACAAGTATTTTTTTGCGCACGGCGTTGTCGGGTGGAATGGATATTGTTTATAAATCGTAAATTTTGTAAAACTGTTTTATTCCGTTGCACGCAGTTCCGAGAAGCTCTCAAGAGTACAATGTAAAAATATTAATTAAAAATACGGTCGGTAATTTACGAAAAATCGAACGTAAATGACGTAAAACCCTTGTAGGTTAACGTCTGGGTAAGTACGATGACCCGAAATCTATATTTAGCAGTACCTGTTGAGTAGTAAATAATAAATGTACGGTCGAAATATCACTAGAAAAAGTCAAAGGGCTGCAGAGAGAGAAAAATGCCGAATAAAATGAATGAAAATCGGAAAATTACGCGGTACATCGTAAAACCGCAGCTCACGAATATTGATTGTAATCTTTTTTTTTTTTTTAAATTAAATGGACCGGGTTTGTTGTTATGAATAAAAAAAAAGGTAGTAGTAAACGGAGATTGGCATCGATAAACGAAACGTAATAATTGGACGACGGGATGAAGAAACTCTGGCGCAGGTTTTCTACGTGAAATAATATACAAGGTGATTACTTTTATCGCTAACCAGTGCGGCGGATTTCGAATAGAATGTTTATTGTTTTGGATGTTTTTTTCATGCCAAAAGTCCGCAATACCCATCACGGTGGGTTGTATAAAATAATGGTAGAATTACGATTTCTACGGTTTATGGTCGAAAAAAACACCCAAACGTAGCTGTTGGTTTATATCTGGTATTATTATTGTTATATTCGATATTTGATATTATACTGTATACAGAATGATATTTTCGAAACGAAACGACCTATTTACTCGACGGAGGGAGAATTCCGCGCAGTAGAGGTAACTCGTCTCGGAAGTTAAACGTCAGACGGACATGGAAGAAAAGGGGGGGACATTAAGTCTACAGGTGGCGGCGGCATGACGGACGCAATAATACTTTAATAACAATATTATAGGTGCTTAAAAATATAACATGATCGCCGAACGGTCGTCATCGTAATGCGCAGACACAATATTCGTATACCTGAAATCAAATTTTGTCGGGTTTTTTGTGGACTTTTTGTAACGCGCAATGCGTCCATGCAGCGCGGCAACGACGCAACGACCTTGGGATCAAACGCGTGCAAAACGTACGCCGCAAGTACGGGACGGCGGCGAACAGCACGTGCACGTGTAAACCACATCGCTTTTATAATAATATTACCATTGCTGTAATAATATTATTAAAGCGCCCTGTGACTGCATATATTATAATCTATACTAAAATAAAATAAATTATTATTACATTCGATAAAAACACGAGGGGGGGGGGGATTAATTCACAAGAACAAACAGCGAACAAAAACCAGAATTAAAAACGTATAATACAGTACAGTATAAAACAACACGTACATATTAAAAAAAAAGTACGGTACAAAACTCCTTGGTTATAAAACTATAACGTATAAAAGTATTTATTTTAAATATTTTGTATTAATTAATTGATATAAGTAACGTTTTAGATTTGATGCGTAGCTGGGAAGGTATTTTTTTCTTCTATTTATTTATTTACCTACTATTTTGTATATGTACGCGTAAACAGTAAACACGTTAATATATGTCATATGTATACAAAATTAAAAACACTGATACAATATTAGGTACGTATTACATAGAAAAAGTCAACAAAAGAGGTTGATGAATATCAATTCAATTCAATTAAGTGCTTAATGAATATTTAATAATTATGAATTTCGTTGGAAAATAATATTTGCATATATTTTAGCTGTTATATAGCTCTGTGCACGTTTTAGTCATAATATACGTGTATATAATACTAACGCTGATAAAATAATCTGAATCGCGAGCGTATAAAAAAAAAAAAAACTGTGACGTAGACGAAAACTATAAAACTCAGTAACGGTTATATCGCAGTTTTGAGGGGGAGGGGAATTTCAAATCCACTGGGGGTCATGCGGTTCAACCTCTTCCATTATCATTATTGTACATTTATTACTCTATAATCTATATCAGTGTTTTTAACCGTTTTAACGTTATCACACCCTTGAGGAGCAAACATTTTCAACGCCCTCTTGAGTGAAAATCCCGTAATTAAGCGCATGTAAAAGAAGTGGAAACTGACAAATTTGAAATTTGAAAAAAAAAAGACTAAAATATTTCGAATGATAGCCACTGTCGTAGGTGAGAAGTTGGGAAGGTAGGACATAAAGGGAAATTAAATGTATATATCTACACAACGATAAACCGTTACGAAAAAGTTTCTTTTATACACACGCGTACGTTTTCCCATTACTCCCTCCCTCCATCAAATGACCGCCATAAAGTACCAACTAGATAAAATTTAATTTCAGAAAAGATACTACATTTGATCCATTAGAGCAAGATTTCTGTTAGAAAAGTTGCTCGCAGAATAAAAAATATAAATATCATTGTGTAACCAATCGCTACGCTAGGAATCTAAAATAACATATTATGTACATAGATAGGTTCTTTTATCACATACTCACTACCCGGTTATTGATGGCTACCTCTATATAACTATTTTGGTCCCCGTACAATATAATAACTATACAATTATTATATGATAATAATAAAAATGATTATTTGTCAGGGTGCGGGATATTTAAATGCAAAACACATATGAAAATAGTTTAAAAATGTGGGTTATTGATGCTCTGCCTAAAAATAACGCGTGAACAAAAAATGCCGACTAAAAGTTTCACTTTTTACCTGCCAATCAGCCTCTACACAAATCGATTTAACTAGTCGTAAACTAAAATACGCATTGAAACCCCGGCCTCCTTCTGATCGTGTGCACACAGAATATAATGGTGAAATTTAATTTCATCAAAAATCATATTTTATTCGATAATAAAAGTGATAGTACTTTACTGACGATATTATTATGCGCTGTCCCCTCTCTAAGAAATCATTATAAGCGCGACTCCTTCGGAAAAAAAAAATCCAACATCCGACCGCTTATCGTATTATCGTTATCAATATAACCTACTCTGAATAGCAAATCAAAACCGTATTTTTGGTAAAAACGATATTAATAGTGCAAACGTTTTTAATGTTTTTATTATTTTTTTTTTTTCGGTTTCCCGCGATACTATACGTGTGTTTATCGCTCGTCGACTGCAGCTGCAGCGGTTAGCTGCGATAATAAAAAATATTGTGTACACTTTTGGACACTCGAACGGCGACTATTTTTTGTACATTACGGTCCTCTATAAATAATAATAATTATTATTATTATTTGACATCATTCGACATTGGCCATTATAGATTAATTTTTTTTTCTCATACATCGCGCGACGTTACTTGTGTCAGTTCTTTAAGAAGACGTTATACACATATACCCGCGTTTACTGTCTTAGTCCGACTGCCTGGTAGCATGCATAAACAATGCTTACACAGCAGAATAAGTAAATTTAGTTTAATTTTGATTTTAGAGTAAAAGTACCTGTAATGAAATTTATAGTGAACAATATTTCGGAGAGAATGTCATAGGGTTTTTGTGTTATTCAAAATGTACAGCTCGATATAAAAGATACGAAAACCTTAATTTTTTTTTTTTTGCTTTTTTAGCAGTTCGTAATTGCAAAAACACCGATGACGTTCCCTCCGAAATATCGTTCTCTGTATTATAACAGGTACACCTGTAAAATCGAAATTAAACTAGTTTTACTTATTCTGCGCAAACATTGTTTATGTACGTTACCCGGTATCGTTGGACCGAGACAGTATAGACGCGGGTATAACGTTCTCTTAACACCGAATTTTATAACGCGCGCGCGTTAACAAACGTTGCACGATAATATTACAGATTCACTGCACGTTCATTTTTCCGATAAAAACAAACCGCGGCCGAACTAAAACGCTTCGTTAAAAAATGTTCGTAATACGTATCGTATGATATGCATTCGTCGCAGACAATGACAATGATACACCCAACCTCCTATTGATTTATTTCGGTATACTGCGAAATGGCAGGCAATGCGACGCGCGGGGGGGGGTCGGCGCACCGCGACGGACATTTCGATATTATAATTATTCGCTTCAAACCGCTTCTACGGGTATTTTAGATTCCGAGGAGCGTAGGGAGCTATTGGTTTTACAATGCCGTTTGTTACTTTTTTGTTTTAGTAGTGTGCGTACACGTTTTTTCCTAGTAAACTTGTTCCGATGCACAACAAGTGTAGCGCTTTTGCTGAAAACTCAAGTTGTCCAGATTGTACTTCAGAGAGGTAATTTTTTTTGATTTTCGACGCCATTTTTTAAATAAAAGGCAATTAAACGGAGAAAAATGATTCAATCGAAAAATCACAAGGTGCCTTTTTTACGGTGTCACCGCCATAACTTTTGAGCTTTTAAGGAATTTAAATTGTTGAGAGTTTTTTGCTGTAATTCGGTTATAAATACACGTAGACTTGAAACTTGGTAATAATACTTATATTAGACTTACCTAGACGCGGTAAAATTTCCAAAATGATCGGACGGCTTTTTTGTTTTTTTAATAAGCCTTTTGAAATCAAGTTTAAACGAATTTCGCAAAAAAAAATGTAGGGCACTTAAAATTATGTATCACCGAACTGAGCTCGGAATCATCTTTCGTCAAGTAATGGTTTATCGTTGCTTACAGATATAAATGAAATAACCTTTTGAATCCTATACCTTCCCAACTTCTAACTTACAACAGCGGCTGCCCCATCACTAAGTCGTGCCTGTCTAAAATATATTCCTGTAGTAGCTGTATAACAATAAAGAAAAAACAAACAATGGTAATAAATCCGGCGTGGTTTTTTAATCGGTAAAAATTGTACAGCACCTATTATAAATATACCGAAATCGATTTTTGTATTATTCTTCTTTTTTTTTTTTTCTACGTGAAATGCATAAAACAAACATATTTTATAAATACCTACTAAATATAGTACTACCAAGTCCTATATTTACGGTATACGGAATTATTTTCTTTATTCGTAGTATCTTGTGCTTAACTGCTTAATTATTGTTGTAACTACTGTTATATTTTCGACCAAAAGTATTTTTTATAATAATTACAGTGTTGAGAATTACCTACCTACATTTAATTATTTCGTCTACGGGTAAATTAAAATACACGAACGCGTTAAAACAATTCGATTTTTAGTACACGCTCGACCTAACTGTGATAATTTGTTTTCGACATAAATATGTGATTACCTAGCCTTTAAAAATACCCAGGTAGGTTTCACGGTCCAGTATTAATTTTGGGCGTGCGTATTGCTATAGATTTGCATGGAAAATAAATAATTACGGAAAACTACACAATGTAGGTTGGCACAATGCGTAGACGCTATAATAACAATGAAACTGGTATAACAATAAAAGCACACTGCGGTATTTGGGCGAAATTCCAATATTTCATCGTTAAACCGAATAAAAATGAAAACGTAAATATTATCGTTCGGTCACTGTGCCGTACTCAGGTACCCTCTGTAATAGAGAGAAAAGAAAAAAAAATTAACGTCCAAACCAGCAAATAGGTGCAAGTACTTACTCGATGATCGTATTAGGTTTGTTCATTGCCCCCGCATACGGGGTAGGCAGGTAGTCGGGAAGGAAAGATGGTATCCACGCATAACACAATATATTATTTCGTTCACACTATAATACCTAAGGGATTAGAGGCTAAGCAATTCGAGCCGGAATGTAATAATGTAACATTTTGAACCGGGTAGTAGACGACGGAAAACTAGGCGCTCAACGCGAACTATTTCCGGTTCGCGGTACGTTAATTTTATTTTCGATATTTTAGCGTGGAAAAAAAAAAAGATACGCCTGTACAATTTAATCGCGTAGTATACCTATTGCAATACCGCGGTATACGCAATACCACAAATAATACGTCAATGAGACCCAATACTAATAATTACTGAATGTTGTATGACGACGGTTAATGCCGATAGACGTAATTAATATAATCTTGAATATTGATGAGAAAAAAAAAACCGTACGCGGGGTATGATAATCGATTAACATATTATTTAAAATCAACCATACCGGGTGTCCGTGCCGTCGCGGCGTAGGACAGATACAGACAATAGTATCATCATTTCGAACCGTATTTGTCGCCAGAGATCTCTGATCCGCGTTTATCGATGTACGTGCAATATTATCGCTCGGCGTTCACATTGTAATAATTGATGGCGCAACACGAACGTGTGTCTATTGAAAATCGTACAAGCACCCGTACTACGTAATAAAACGAACGGGGCAAGTGGAAAAGAAAAGAAAAAAAAATAAACCAAACCAAATCAAAATCGCTGTGGCGGAACAGCTGTCTCTACGCAGACCACGTATTAAATGGGCCGACGCGACGGCAGACAAATATATAATAAAAACGCGCGACAATAATAATAATAATAACAAACAGCAATGGTGCGCGATAGGAGCGCATTGGACATTTTTTTTTTATTTTATCAAATAACAATAAATACGAAATAAATACTACGCATACCTCCGAGTGTTTCTTCGGGCAGAGACATTGGCGTGGTAGACATGACGACGGTGATTTTGAGCTTCGGAATACGGAAACGGCCGCGAAAACCCGATGTGCTTGTTCTGCGCGCGCTATTTCTTTTTTCTTTATATTTTTTGAATTTATATGGTATACACGTGTTGAAACCGCGGGTCTTCGAGACCACCGATAAACGAAAAACGCGAACACAATATTATCACGTCTTGTGTTGACAAATTCGAAATCGAATATAGTTTCAATAATAACAATATGAACAGCGAGCGGCAGTGAAAACACAAGAGCGCAGTTCGGGTCTCTGCGAACGAATGAAACAGATAGTGAGATCGCGATATACGATGTACGGAGTGAGCGGTGAGTAGTGTGTACGTGACCGCGGAAGGCACAAAGAAAGGTGTACGCGTCCGTTGTGTTTTTGTTATGATCGCGGACTGGCGGGGGTCGGCGGACGTACCTACCCGCTCGTCCCCACCATAACGCCGCCGTAGCAACAGTCACCACCACCGCGCACCGCACACCGCCGCCGATGATAACGGCTGCGGCAGTGCGGTACGGTAACGCGCGCGCGCGACGTGTCAACAAACTTGATAACACATGACGTCACGTTTCTTTCCGCCGTGCCGCCGTCGCGGGTAGAAACGCGTCGGTCGTCGACGGCCGCCTCTGCACCGGGAATCGGATCGCCGGATGCGTTGCTGCTGGACGCGGCAAAATGGACGTGGTAAGCTGGTAGCTACGCGATTACGTGCGAGTTACGTCTATGAACGCGGGTAGGTGACGTGACCGTGACCGAGAGCACGTATGCCAACAAAGGGGACGCATGGTGTAGAGACGTGGCGACGGGCCGTCCGAAAACGATATTACGCACGAGTCCCGGATCCCGCCTAAATTGTTGACAAAAGAATAATGACTGTAAATAAAAATACTTGTCTACAACAGCGATGAATTGGAAAACATAAATTTACATTATTTGAACATCAAATTATTTTATAATTTACACCATACACAACTTTTATATATATTCACCATTAATTGGGGGTTGCATTAAGAAAAAAGCAACTTTTTTAGTTAGTTGATAATATTAATGTAGACGGTATAGACGTATAGTTACTATTGTAGTCTACCATTCTTAGTTGAAATGATTGGCACATAATTTAATATAAATAAATTTATTTAATACGTATATAAAGAAACCTATTTTAATATAAATAGGTACACACATACAAAAAAAGTAGGTAACTCTAACTGAATCACTGAGGAATCACCGAAAAAAGTAGGTATAGATACCTGATTTAAATGTAACAAAGTTTTATAGATCCATACACAATTTTAAAAGAATTTGATAACCTAGTATATTACTTTGTTAAATAAATTCAGTACACTAATTTGTAATTATATTTTGATATCTATGGTAATTAATGTAAATACAAATAATTATAAAGATCTAACAGAACACTTTTAGTTCGCCAAAGGTTTTCACCTATTTGTTTTTATTCATTATTGACACGGTCAAAACCAAATAGGATTATAGGAATATAGGTAAAAAATAATAATAAAATAACAATAATAATGTTACGAATAATACCTCCTTGTCAACCAAATCGACAACTTAAGTTTAGAAACATAAAAACTAATAGTTAGGCAAAAAATTGGTCTTAATTGTATTACTACAATTCATACAACATAATTGCTACAATTTCATTGTGTTGCACAATGAAAGATAAGAGAATCCTCGTTGAATTTCATATCCCAAGGTTAGCACAAGTTTTTTTTTTATTCCCCAGGCCATTTCACTTACTGTTTTCCCAGGAAATACTTTCGGTTAACTTTCCCATAACAAATTTACTTCTTTACCGAATTTTCTATGGAATGATACAATGGTGAACGTATAGAACATAATTTTCTACGTCGTGTTTCAGTTAAAAATTCATTGTTGCCATGTTGATATCAAAAAACATAATACAATTTAATTTGATACATCGTAAAATAAAGTGTACTGAACAAATCCTGATTTTGATCATTTCTGATTATGATGATTAAAAAAAAAAAACCATTCCTACTTTAATAATTGATATTTTTAATCATTCTTAGAAAAAAATCGTTTTAGAAAATATTTTGTGCTGAATTTTAATTTCCTGAGTTTCCTTTCGATAGCCCTTCCCGGTTTCCTGATCCAACCGTATCAGTCGTTATACGCTATTAAGTAACAACTAACAAAATGAGATGTCAATTAAACGGTCGAATAGTTTTGGGAAACCATAATGCATGTACTTGCATGTATGAAATTCCCCGTATTACAATATTATTGGGTTGGGTACCTACTAACTGCGTTTGCTGTCATATTGTAATAGCAGGTAGGTGGGGTAGGTACTATCTTACTATGATTTACTTATAATTTCGAATAATTAGATAATTACATTCTTTGTGGTTTCTTCGTATTATCGCACTATAATATTATGTATCAATATTTTCTAATCGTTTTGTAGATTATATAACATATATGGGAACATCGGTACATAAATTAATCATTATATTATAACAAATAACCAGAAATATGATGGAATTCGAAGCATTTCGTTGACTGGAAACAAATTTACTGATATTCGAGTGTAGTTCATACTAATATACAAAGTGATCATTCTATCATAAAACAATTATTATCTCGGAAATTATGCACCTTTTACGGATTTTTTTTTTCTGAAAACTTAAGAAACAAATAGTTCCAAAATATTACATTATCATTTTTTTTTGGCATCTTTATTTTTGGATTTGAAACGAATACTAATTTTTGATTTTCAATTGGCAACCTACAGAAAAAATCCCATAAATAGACGAAATAATAGTTAAAATAAATTATCTCCATTTTAATTACTGACGTTCGACTGTTTTTTGTGTAGATATTAAAAATACATATACCTAATGACTAGTAATGTTTAGACTTTAGATAATTATTGAAGATTGCAGTAAAATATTAAAATATAATAATTGTGTTAGCGAATTGATTTACGCATCAATTACTAAAAACTGAAATGCCGCTGAAAATCACTTTTATGAATATCCGTGAAATCAATTGTTATTTTTTAGAAATATGATCGATCAATAAATCCGACTGTTAATCCAATATCGCACCAATTTTTGATTTGTGACTTTTTCATTTTTCATTGATGGCGCCACTAAAAACTAAAATGATATGCTCCAGGAGCTCTTAGTGTACCAGGCCGATATTATTATTGATTTTATATTTGTCGAGTAACTATAATATGGTTTTGTTATTTTTAAGTCTTTATAGAACTCAATTTAATTGAGTAATATTGCAGCAAATAATTACTATATTATATATAATACATTATTATAAATTACACTCTCAACCCACGAACGGTTTCATTCGATCGTTTTAAACTGCAGGGAGTTCTAATAAATAATAATAAAAAAAAAACTATACAGTATTTTTCTTTTTTTCAACGCACTCGAAATCATAAATTCGTTTTTAGAACTTCTAATCTACCACCTCCGACCGAACAATTTCATAACTGTTATTTTAACTTATCCGCCATAATAATACTATTGAGTATTGATTATTTCAACACTTTACCGGGTTCACACTTTGGTAATTGTATGCATTTCTTGTGTGTGTACGTGTTCTTAATCACGCGAGAAGAAAATGTGAACGTGTAATTGCAACGCGTATTGCGATTTTTTCATAGATTTCCCCTGCATAGGTACCTACTTATATAGCATTTTACAATATGAAAATCGCCTAAGTGTGAACCGGGACTTTTATATGAATAATTTATTGTTTTAATCCCGGAAATTATTTGCAGTTAACTTGAACGAGCATAAATACTTTTGAATATTAATAAGATGAAAACGCTTATTTTGTTAGAAATTTTATTTTCGTTTGATTTGTAATTGGCTATTATCGTTAATTTACAGATTCGTCTCAAATTCGTTTTTTTTTATATTTATTGTCGATGGATTGAATAGCTAAAATCAAAATATAAGTCCCTGTTCACACTAAAAAAAAACACCAATTTCGTTAAATGAGTTATAGTGTGTGTTGTATAATGAGTATAGGCTAAAATTAAAACTCACAAGTTTCCAAAAAATGAAAAATATCATCTTTATTTCCTGAGACCTATATTTATGTCTACGATATGCGTGTAGGTGAAGGGTTCATCTGTGTTTTTTTTTCTCTCAAACTAGTGCTCAAAATGAAAAATTAATTGAACCATAAAACAAATTTATTTTTGATGTATTATGTTTATATGATTTGTGGACAGCAATGATAAACATTTTTTTCTTTGTGAAAATATGAACCGGAATTGCATTATCATTTGCTGTTCATTTCTAGCTCTGACTTAAGCACATCATTGAGTACAAACATAACTTAAAAATAAAATCAATATTTAATTAAATTTCTGTAGATATACAGTGTTATCAGTGTTGCCAAATATTATTATTTATTACGTATTAAACGTAATTTGTGTAGTGAACAATGATAATGTCACAGAATATAACCAATATGTATTGGTTTTTAGAAATAAGTTATGTTATAAAATAATGAAATAATATATATTTAAATTGTATAGTAAATGATTTAATGAAAATTGAAATCATAAATATTTTTTTTGTTATTCATAAAATTGTATCTATGTTTTATTAGGATAAGGACGAAATAAATCTTTGTCCTCCTATGCTTAGAACGGGGAAATTGGTTCACCTGCACCCGCCCACACCGACGCCACTGCATATGATCAATGTTATTTAATGAATTGAAAGATACAAAATAATTAATAAAAAAAGACGAACATACGGTTGCCAGTGACAACCTTATTTTTAATCTTTCAATCTTTTTTAACCTAAAGAACCAGGTTTTGCTCATTAGCTCGAATATTAATGAGAATTTCAAAAAATTACCTCACTTAAGTACCACCCAGAGAACATTTTTTTTTCAGAAAAGGTGCTATACCTGATAATCGGAGTAAGCTTTCTAATAGAAAAAGTGTTCACATAAAAAAAAAATTTAAAAAATAATATTAAACATCTTTGTAAAACCAATACATTCTTCACTAAACTCAGAATCTAAAATTATATTATTTGTGTATCATATAATATAAAATACTTTTCCGTATTCATATACGATAACTACTTGTATTTATTGTTTTTTAATGGTAAATTGCGATTTTTAAGTATTATCTTTAAAGGGATGAAATGTTTACTGTTTGACAATAATGATAAATAGTTAAACAAATTAACATAGACATGAACTTTCATTACTTTCTATTATTTTATGCGAAATCAAAAATGCTGGTTTTAGTATACAATATAATAGCATAAGAGTATTTATAGATGTATTCGTATCGCTTTTCAGCCTATCGGCTAAGATGAAGTTTATTATCTGTTCTTAATACATCTTTAATACTTCCACAAAAGAAGTACAAATATTAAACTAATTTTTGTAAAATGGGCGGAGAATTCGGGGCTCACTTCAACTCCGCTGCGTGTTGTACCGGTATTTCAGTTACCACCGGGAATAGCCCTATCAATAATACAGTCTTCTCTTAATTTGAGTAAAACAAGTAAAAATAATAAACAATACTATCTATAATAAAGTAAGTTGTAGGTTTGTAGTACAATATAATAACATGATAAATGATTGACAAAATTAAGATTAAAAATAAAACAAAATTTTTTTTTTTTTTACAAGAATATTTTGATATTCGATACATTACATTAGTTTCATTTTATCTCTCATATAATAGTTACTCGAGTACACGTATGGAAAATTATGTAACATTGAAATGTTTTTTTTTTTTATTATCCATTAATCTATTATTACACTAATTAGAAAATCTGACCATACATTACAATAGGTATCAGTATTACACACGCAACTATACAGCTTAATGCTCTGTTGCATTAATTTATTTTCATAGATATATGAATCTGTTTACTTAGTGTCGATTTCGTTTTTCATCAGCTTAGATAGGTTTATAAGTATATACATTATCAACATATGAAGTTTCGTATTTGTTCATCGTTACAAAACAGTTTAACAAATAAAAACGCATGTGCTATAATATAAATGCTACGAAAAAAAAAAAAGTAATAATAATAGACTAACTGACAATTTGAGAAATAACCACGGGCGGTTGGTGTTATGAGTACGAATCTTTCAAAAATATAATATATTATGCGAAATGTGAATAGTATAAATACAATTAAGTGATGGAACAATGATTAAGAAATATCATTTTTGTTAACTTCTGTTAAGTTGACATTTTTTTGTATTTTCATTTGCAAACCGAAGGCTCTTTCATTTATTTAACTTAAATTTTTCACTATCGAATTAATTATCATTAATTATATACTAGTCATAATAATTAAATAAATACATGTAAATTAGGTTCAATCCCGTCAACAAGAAAAAAACAAATAAAATTATAACTTGTCCATAATATTACCTTTGAACATACCTGTTATGGTATATTATGTTTGTGTATATTTAGAACGTATATTTAATATCGAACTCAGATTGTTATAAAAAGGAAAACTGCATACCTAATGATACTTACTATAAATTATAATAGTTTTCATTTGAATATTGTCTAATTTTATGGTTTTATTTTTATCAGTCAGAAAAAATGTTTAACTAATAACTTTGTAGCAGTATTAATAGTATGTTTTAAAACATTAGTTTCGCACTTTCACCGCTGGTACCAGCACGAATCGAGATAATTAGTGGGGGTCATATGGTATTTTTAAAAAAAACTATAAAAGATTTAGGTATGAATACTCGTAGGGAAGTACAGGGGGTGGACAATTCCCCTCCTATATTGACTATATTTGGAATTTGAAAATACCACAGACAATTTGTTTAAAATGAACAAATGTAAATTGAAATGGTTTATATTTTATTAATTATAATAAACACAGTTTCAAATTGTTTTAAATAATTAAAACTGTTGACTGAATCGGAATTTCCATTCCCCTGAATTTCTGACTATATGCGCCTTTGCATACATAGAAATAATAATCATGTATAATGCGTATATTATTAGGTAATTAGACGACTGCGAATTATTGTATATTATTCGGATAAAAACCGTATGGTATAATTATATTTATATATTACTTGTATTTTTAATTATGTTTCTAAGAAAGAGCGATGCGGATCGCAATGTTACGATAAGAGTCGTATATTATATAATATTTTAATAATTTAATAAAGTTGACCAATATCGGACCATACAAGTTTAATATATTATTAGTTATCACAAACTAAAAATGATAAAATAATATTATGTTTACGTTGCATTCAGTCACACAATCCAATATAATATCTAGCGGTCTTATTAATTAGAGACTTTTATAATATTATGTAGATAGGTATAATAAATTATTATACAGGTTTTAATAACGAAGATGTGACATTTGAAATAACTTATGTTCTGTTCAATAGTTTTTAAGTATTTTTTTTTTTTTCAAGTTGTAATAAATATTTAAAAAAATGTTTTACATAATCCAATAAAGCAATTTTCTAAATATATATATATTTGAAATAAAACTTTGGTATTAAAAATAATGAATATTTAATTATCAATACATTTTTTGAAGTTAACGATAATTTAAATTGTTTTCATTGCCACTACTACTACACACACCTAATGTCAATTAATTCGCCAATTTATCCATGAAAAATAATTTGTTTAAGTAATGATTTAAGTAAACTTCAAAAACTGTAGAAATTTAACGATAGATTATCAAAATTTTGTTTAAAAATATATTTATAAAATGGTTATCTTTGATTTTTTAAAAAAAATTGTTTTAAAATTGTAAATGTTTTATTTTTAGTTATAAAAAAATATAAAAGAGAGGGATCTTAAAAATACCAAACAGAACAGAAATTTTTTTAGATGTCAGATCTTTGTATTATACTGTTAAATAAATTTTAATATTATCATCGTTAATTATTAACGTTATTATCATTGCATGTACTAATACTAATAATAGCTTAATTTAGATATTTAGAAAAAAAACAAGGAACAATACGATTTATTTAACCGAGCGTATCTATATACAATAATAATTAATGCTATATCAATATAGATACGGTTCGAGAGATAAGAAAAATTTGCCTAAACCCATTCCTATGATAACTATTGTACAAGAAAAATGAAATATTCCATTAGTTATTGTTGAAAAGTCGTATAAAACATAGTAAACAAATAGATATTACAATTACACGATCGTGTGATTTACATTGTCGATTATGCATACAGTGTTATCGACAATTGCATGCGTCATTCATAATCAAATATTTAAATTGTTTATGTACTACATAAAAATGTAAAATAAAAAAACTGGAGAGATCATTAAAAAGAAAAAAATTGTTCAGACAATCTTCGGGTATAAAATAATATAATATAATTTGACATTGTGTATATATATGATTTTTAATTTTTAAGCATTCTCATAGAAAGTGACAATACAGAGTTGTCTAAAAGTATATATGAATTTTATTATTATTTCTCGTCATATTATTCCACCGGTCTAAATTTTAAGTTGTCTGCTGTTTATAACCGATAAATTTATTACCTATAATACCTCTAAACATATTTCACCGGTTTTAGAAAAAAAATAACTTCTATTCCATTGCGAGTTAAAAATGTGCAGTGTTACTCTTTGAAATTTAAAAGTTAGTAGTTTAATATACGTGTCTATGGTATTACTGTATTAAAAACGAAAATGTTGTGATTAAGACCACTGACCAATTAAAAATGGTTGAAAAAAAAAACGGAAAATCAATTTTATTTAAAACCTTTGCAGGTAAGTAATGGACTCCTTTATTATTTCGGTTTCCCAGGGAAATTACTTAATTATTGTACAGATGGTATATATTTCGTCGAATTTCATTGTTTCATTTTTTATAAAATTAATAGATTTTATTGGATGATAAACACAAAATATATTACTTATTTTAAGAGTGAGGCGTTTTTTTTTTTTAAATTTAACATTTGTTTATAAATTACGTTGAACAAATTACCTGTCCACAGTGACACATTCAATCTTACTCTGGAAGGGGGTGTAAGAAAACTTAGGACAATATTTTCCCTTATAATTAAATACATATAGATGGTTATTAGCACTTACCTAGATGCTGTTAATTAATAAAACAAACAATATTTTTTACAAGGTTTATGGCAGTCAGTTATTTTATTATTAACAGTATTTAGATAAACATTTATAACAAAAATTCCAGCTTCCTATATTTATTATTTCATATTTGATAATCCAATCAGTACTTCATCAGGGCTAATACATTTTTGTTTAATTTATTTTATTTTTTTGGCTCTAGGGAGTAAGGTTGAACCCGAACCCCCCTCTCGTAAGTACGCCACTGCCTAACCAAGGATTTAAAAAAAAAACAATAATATTATAATACAAATCATCGTAAACGAAACAGGTCGAGTTCACACGACACACGCATAATTTAGTTTTGTTATTCAAATTGATTTTACTCGTAACTAAATCCGTTTGCAAAAACGTAGCGCTATATTATAATTATAGTATACAAACAACTAAACCAAACATTTCAGTAATTTATCCATATACGGCTATACAAGTAATTATTATATTATTTAAATTAACATATTAACAACAGTTTTGCAAAAAAAAAAAAAAAACTGGATTGTGATACTGTATAATCGTGAAGTAAAAACACTATAATATTAGCATTACATTTAAAAATAAAAATTAGTAGACGAGCTGATACTGCTGTTAAGTGTTGCAGGTGAGAAGTTAGAAAGGTTGCAATGGTTTATTCATTGTTAACGAAGTACTATTCTGATGTTCAATACCTAATATTTGCATTGACATACCGTGATATTTACTAGTTTCATTGAAGTTTGATTATGAAAAAAAACTACGCTTAATGTTTTCTACCAGAAATCCTTGTCCACATTTCAAGAATTAAATATTATCTGAAAAAATGTTTGCCTATTTATAGGTATTCGATATTTTCGTGTTTTTATGTATATATTTTTATTTGGTATAAGTACAAGGCCGTAACTGGAGGGTCCGGAACCCCGGACTCTTTATTCTATTTTAAAAGTAGAAAAATTTTAGTAGTGGATAAACTATATTCATTACTAAAATTATGTCCAAGTATGGCCGTTGAAAAATTAAGCAATAAATTGTAATTCCAATTTATTTCCATGTATATTCTTTTTATTAAAAGTGTTAGCTATATTACCAGTTTCAACTGCAACGTGTGCCATGGATTTGCCATCCCTGGTATATAGGTAAGTAACGTCATCGTGTTAAATTCGAAAATCTCTCTTACAAACACTGTGTCACAGGATTAGTGATTATTATATTGTACAGAGTATTAGGGAGTCGAGTCGCATTTATAAACTCTGAATATTGCAGTATAATTTATCCGTAAATTATGCATACAAGTGTATATTATACATAAGTATTAGTATTATACGGATTTCTATGTAGATGAGCAGAAACCGTCAAACAAAGCCAACGAATATATTTAT